ACCTCAAAGTGCACAAGCTTCAAACTTGAAGCGTTGGCTGCTATTTTGAAGCTGAAATCGCGTTCAGTGTGAACGCAGCATAAGAGTTGCTTTGACTGCTTTTTATTTCAAGTTAACAAAATAAATAGTTTTTTCATTGGGAACCCGGATGGAAGTCACCCACAAGCCTTCACTTGTTTAACCCTGATTTAGCAGAACATCACTTCAAAATTGACTGAACTATTCCTTTAAGTGTCAGCACAGTGTCAGTGTTGTCCTGTTTCAGTTGTAGCTTCCTGTAGCAGAAACAGTAAATCTGTGCATCTTTCCTGAACCCTGAGAATATCTGTCTGTAAATAAAAGTCTGAGTTATCCTGCAATGGAAGTCTTTAATGACTTTAAAACATTTGATTTGTGCATAAAATGAAAGCAAGAACTGCTTCAGTCTTCTGCACTCTTTTTAAAATCTTTGCTTTAGTGGTATCTTCCAATTTGCCGTATAGATGGTAAATATTTCAGTTCTATAAAAGAGTCAGGTTTAGACGTTTCTGGAAATATGAGGTCTGTTCCTTCATTGCTTGCTTGGATGAGACCAGATGTTCTAAATCATGTTCAGCTAACAATTGTTTTAAAGGCAGCTATTTTCTTTTATTTGTGTTATTACCTGAAGACAATGAAAGATAAAGACCGATGATGTTTTTGCTCGTGTAAATCTGTTGACTGGATGACTTTCTTTGATTGTTAACCAAATATTTTGGGAACCACTTGTATCATTTTAATGACGTTCTCTGCGAGTATATAAGATGTCTTGAACATCTAAAACTTATTGACTTTCAAAATCAGGCTAATTCAAGACAGCCACCACTGTCAGTCAACTTCAGTTAATCTAAAAACAGCTGTAACTCAGTCAGTTTAAAGGGCAATATTATGTGTTTCTCAGGCATATATTTAAATACTATACCATAATAAAGTATCTATGNCAATATGTCTTAGAAGTTGCCACAATTTATTTGAAACATTTTTTATCTCAGCAATGTGTAGACTTTTGTCTAATCTTTATAACTTTGCAATGAGAAGCATTAAAGGGGCAATATTATGTGTTTCTCAGGCATACATTTAAATACTATACCATAATAAAGTATCTATGTCATCTTTATTTGTTATTAAAAGGCTGTTTTTACATTTAAATTGAAAATAAACTTTTCTCATCTTTTCCTCTTCTAAACACCTTGAAATTGGCCTTTGTCTCTTTAAGAACCTCCTTCCGCTTCTGTCCCGCTCGTTTCTTTTGCACTGATATGGAAGCTCAGTGTAGTTTACTTGGCATATGAAAATACATTTCCTCAAAGGTATTTTGAATCTGAAAAGGGCTGCACTGAGAAMTAGTATTGGGAGCTCAGCAGACAGTTTCAGTTTCACCAGTTGTTTGCGTTGTTGCTGTGGAGAGCCTGCAGGAGTCATGGGTGGGGTGTGGGCYTGGGTGGGTGGGCGTGCTCTGTTATGAGGAAGCTCAGCTTGGAGACACAGCCCAGAGGAGGAGCTGATCCCAGAAGGAGGTTCTAGTCCCATCCGGTTGTTTTTGCTCCCCTGCCTGGCTGCCTCAGGACACTACAGGGCTTCTCAAACATACATGAATGAGTCAAAGTCAGACTCTGGGGATGTTTTTGATGAGACGATAACATTATAACATAATATAAAACTCTAAAAAAGTTGATTTTACATGGCATAGCCCTTTAATCATTCAGAACAAAGACTTGCTGTGATAGAAGTCAAAGTCATTCACYTGTGTCACACGTCATCGCTTAAAAAGTTCATTTTCAAGGTTTGATCAAAACAGATACAAATTTTTTCACCGTAAAATCTTAATTTAAAACTCTGGCATGAATGGCAGAGGGGAATTCCCTTCAAGGTAACAATATGCATTTTATTTTTTTGTATTTATAAAAGCAAAATAAATGGTTTAAAAGGCAAGGCAAGGACAGCTGATTACAGCAGCTTCTTTAGAGAGTTGTGTGTGGGTTGTAGACATGAGGCCACTGTGACCAGTTCTGCTTCACATTCATTGTGAGACACTACCACCACAATCCACCCAGGTCCAGAMACACCCCCGCCACATTGATGAACACCAAGACTTCACTGTAGAACTCATGCTCTAAACCGTTGTGGACTTATCACACAGTGGCAGCCCGCTGCATTGTTAGTGTTCCTCTGAAGACCTTTTCAGGGTCTCTCAAAACTTCTCCATGTTCTGGCMTTTTAATGCAACGAGGTCATCCTGAAGGAAACCTGCAGGGTTAATCCTGCCTCTGCATAATGGTTTTCTTTTCTACACAGAGTATACACTCACAAGCTGTGTTTCCACTGCAAATGTGTGCAAAAATTTGTCGATATTCTGTTAATGTTCAAAAAAAAAACAGTTTCGCAACTGAGGGGTTTCCATTAAGTAAGAAACGCTATTAAACTCACGCGTGAATATGCTTGTTCTCACGATAAGTCATTACAAACATGGCGGCAATGGCCCCTTATACTTGGGAGAGGCTACGTATGCTGCATTTTTTGGGAAAATGTAGTCGGTGAGTTTAATACTTTCGGTGATTTCACTACTACTTTTACTTCCTGTTATCTTCTTCTTCGTCTTTTCGCCCGTAGAAACATTCGGTTCTTGATCACATGACTCCCATGATGAGAAAAAAGTGTTTCCATTGCAATTTTGCAAAATACATAAATTGCGATACGGCCGAAAAACCACCTCTTCCTAGTGCAAAAACATTTTGTCGAAAAAAGTTTTTTTTTTCAAAATTCACGTGTT